TTTGTAGATGCAAATTGCACAAAGAGCAGAAAAAAATAAACACCTCCTTTTTGTAACCTTTTAAAAATAATAAGACAAGATCACGACATTATAAACGTTTTGCGTTTAGTTTCGGGCAAATTTTTAATTTCTATATCGGTAACTTTTAATCAATTGAATTGCGTGAGAAATTTTAGGGTAGGTATGCAGTACACCTTCAAATTTGAGCACGCCTCGCTTTTAAATTCCGTGAACTACTCCACATGATGCCTATAATTGCAACACGTTTATAAACAAAAGTCATTGGAATATATTTGTCAAAAACGACCGGAGATTTCAACGATGGGTAAGAAAAGAGTCTCTTTAAATTCCGTAATTATTAGTGTAGGTATCTAGGCCATCTAAAATATTGATTAAAAAGTATTTCTTTGTGCATCTAAATTGATGTTCTTGAGCTATTTTTTAAAACATAAAAGAGCGAAAGACATCGCAGGTTGCTTTCAAGTTCAATGGATATATGGACTAATTAATAATGCCTTGGTTCTGGTCAGCTGGGCATGGCGAATTTTTTCGGAAACCACTGCTCTAATAAGCTTTTGATTAAAATTAACTTAAACTTAGGTTAACTCCCACCTCTGTTGGTACCGTCCATTTCCTATTCATATGTATTGTAAAAATAGTTCAAAAGCTTCTTCCCGATCACCATTAAAGTGGGCAGTTATACAGGGTGTTAATTAATTGAGTGTCGATAATACGGGGTGTGAATCCTCGGGTGATTTTAAGGAGAAAAGTTTATATCAACATATGTCCTAAACTTCTTAGTTTTCGAGCTACAGGGTGTTAAAATATTAAGAAAAAATTGAGTTTTTTATCACTGTTAGATATTTATGAAATTTTGTACACACCTTTTCATCATTCAGGAGCATCCTGTATACAATGTCCCCATGATTGCATGGTCGTCTCTTGTAAAAGACAAAAATTGTCGAATTGAATTTTAAGCTTCTGGGGATCAACCCTGATTGGTTGAACACTAATTTGTGACATAATTTTTGTTTCGAAAAATCAAGTATGCCTTAGAAATTTTCAAAAAAAAACGTTTTCTACATACCAGTATCTGGTCTTTGGGAACCAATTACGCACAAATGTTATTAAGAAAAGTTGTTCAGAATCAAAAACTGCGTAAACGTGTAAAATAAAATTTCCAAGTCCTAGACCTACTTTGATTTTTCGGTGTTATTAGTTTTTAACTGGATTTTTTAATGGAATTAGAAAAAATTCAACTTGTCCAAGATCTCAACTCATCATGTCTCGGAAATCTTTCTCATTTAGCAAAATGAGCTAACCATTTTTCTCCATAATTTCTTTTAAAATCATCCAGGAATTCCTTGAAATGCATTTCATGAAAATGTTAGAATATTTCGGGGACCGACTGAGATGTTTACAGCATATTATCGCAGTGTAGTTGCAAACTTTCTCACTTTTCTGAATTTTCTTAAATAATTTCCAGTTTGTCCTTACTCAAATGGACGTTTAAATAAACAGAAAACGCACTTATGAATTTGGATCTTTTGCCATTTTTGCTTGGCGTAAGTACGTTAATTCATCGAGCTAATTTTTTTCGAAACTATACCGTATTTTAATCTTGATCTTTTCACTTTTAGTGGTTAACCGAAACGTAAACTCTTTGTCTTCTGCATCTTTTGCCTTTGGTGTTTTAACTGTATTTAAATCTTTTACCTTTTTGCACTTTCGCCAGTTACACTTCTTTGCATCCGTACCACTTGATTTTGACTTGTACCGTAGTGGAATTGGCTATTAGCGAACTTTTGCTACCGCTCCGTTAATTGGGGGAGATATTGTTCGCTTTCTCGCAATTGGTTTTCCGCCGCTTCCGCCCATTTGTGTTGTGTTGCTTTCTTTTCGTTTTTCCGAAGTCACCGCCGCTAGCTACTGAAACCGCCCGATACCTGGAGCTGCCATTTCTTCAGCTGAAGTTACACCCGAGGTTTCCGACCCGCCACACCGCTGCTACCGTCGACCTCGACCTGGAGCGCTTGGGGCGCCCGTCCGTCCGTCCGCCCGTTTGTTTCCTTCCGCCGATAATTTGTATATTTATTTATTTTTCTTTTAAATATTAAATTGCAATTATTATTACGCTAATATTTATTTAATTTTAAAAGCACACCGACTGTAGGCGAACTACCCCAAATTCGTCGCATCTCTCAAGGGTGTCTTGCGTAGAGCTCAAAAAGTGGAAATGAGAAAGTGGTTTTTATTTTTTTGTATCTGCCCAAATAACACCAGAAAAAAAACGAAATCGGTAAATTTCGATTTTTCTGGGATATCTTCGTAAATCATCGGAATTTTCTGGTTTTCTTTAAAGTATGATAATAACTCTAATTTGACCATATTCGGATTTTCTATGGTTGCCGAGATCCCCATGATAGACACCCTCATCTTCGACACAGTGTATACAGGGTGAGTTTTTCCACTTTCACTATGGGATCTCATAAACCGTAAAAGATACAAAGTCGATTAAATGGGTAAGTTATGCAGAATTGTATGCTGATTACTTTTTCCCTTGTTCTTTGTAACTCTACAAATAGAGAATTTACTTACAGTCAAAAATTCGAAAAACATCATTTAAAAAATGCTTTATTTTAGCACCATCAGAAAGCTGAGATAGAATCCCTAAGGGTTTGTTCAAATTATTTTTTGATATCTTTGAAAATAAATGAACCGCAGCACATTTTCGAAAATGACTTTTGAAATTCTACATAACTTTTCCCATTTAAGAGACCTTGTAATCCTTTACGGTTTGCGAGATCTCCATAGTGAGAGTCAACTAAAAACTCACCCTGTATATATTTCCACTTGTTATGAGCCGTCGCAGAATTACCATGAATTAGCAGAAATCGCACATCAATCGAATACAAGATGTCGTCGTACAACCGTCAACAATGAACATGGTTGTTAAAAAGCACCATGTCATTTCGCCGAATTTAATTTGTACATTATCATCGTTTGCAACACAAAATTTCGTCGTTCTTGTCGCTGTAAATCATCGCCTTCGTCGTTTAATCGACCAACAATCTACGTTGTCGCTACCGAAAAAGACAGCCATCGCCATCATCCCTTATCGCCTTCGTTTGTTTATTGCGTCTTCATCCAAGAAGACCTACTTCGAAACAACATCAAGTAAGTCTTTTCCCTCATACGAGTATTCCTTTCGTACCTGTTCCGTATCGACTCGCCAAACAAGGAATCAATTTACTATATTTGCATTTTCTAATCAATAAACATGTTAATCATTAGTGTCAATAATCGTTCAACATCTCTCTTATACACATAGAGTCCACAAAAAATATGGAGGTTTCGCTTCACACGCAACATAGTCTCAGTAGAGAGATCTCGAACCCTCTCACAGACGGATGAGTTTCGTGCAGATATTAAGCATATTTTTCATGAAAAAGATTTCTGTGAAAAGATTTTTAAGGTTTTTTGTTTAAATTTTTTGAAAAAAATGTCTGAATTTATCAGATTTCTAAGAAAGTTTACTGTGTAAGTTTTAGGATGTTCTTTCTAAAAAGATTTCTAGGAAAATTTCCTAAATTTCTTGATGCGAATATTTACAATTCTTCTAAGATTTAAAAAAAAAATCAAAAATTGCGATTTCAAAGATTCCTTCTCAGACATGTAGGATTATTTTGAAACGTTATTTTCAAAAAAGTTTCCAAATAAATTTCCAGAGTTTTCGATGACCCAAAAATTTTCCTGGGAATACTTTTAATGGCACTGCTAGGAATATTTAAAAAAATGTTTCTAATGGGATTTCCAAGATATTCGAGTGTTTCAAAAAGAAAAATTAGGAAGCTCTAGGTACCCTAAAGAAAGGAGATTCCCAAGATTCTTCTAAGCGGTTTCACCTAGGACTATTTTTTAATTCCTTTCCGATTATTCTTTAAACTCATCAGGTTTAACGAAATCTTCTAACAATTTTTCTAGAATCTCTGTTGAAGCTTGAACTGTAATTATAACATTTACGGATCGCCTTAAAACCTTTCCTTTTAAGTTAGCAGCAAATCTTGGAAAACTTCATCACGTTTTATTTGGGACCACCTGAACTGTCAACAGTTTGCAAATTGGGCGTAAGATCGTTTAGTTGAGGATGCCGAATTTTACAATAAAAAAACATCTTTTCGGGCGAGCACATTTCCACCTCGATGGTTATGTTAAGATTCGGTAAACTCTCCTTTCGGTAAAGTGTGATTCGGTAAAACTGCTTTTCGGTAAATTGAAATTCGACGTATTGTTCTTTCGGTATATTGCCATTGTCGGAAAATCAGTTGCATATATTGTTAAAAAGAATAACAGTTGAGTTACACTCGAATTAGACTAAACACTATACGGATAGATCCCAAATTTGGCGGTTACAATATTTTAGATCAATAAATACGTATGGACCTGTGACAATGTGTTTACTAAGATTATTTCGTCCGTAAGCGCATTCCGGAAATGGAAATCACGCATTCAGCGAACGAATCGTATGGAAATCTAATAAGAAAATAGAGCGCTGTTTGCAGACCTAAAAAGGAATTTACCGCTTTGCGTTCACGATACAAAAACAGTTAATTTCGCTTCTTGCGCTTTTAAAAACATTTATTGAATGTTATGGTTCGTTTTTCAATTTCAGTCGTGTATTATTCCGAGCGCAAAGCCAAGTCTTAATTAAGTTGGTCGACTGTGAATGGGCGATTTAGGATTTCGGCCGAAACTTTCCGCCACCTTTGACAGTTGATAAATCAAAAACGCGGGGTATGTGTTAAATTTAACGTAACGTAAAAAGTTTTTAATCACATAATAATATCTTTAAAGGGCAATTCAGCTAGCTGGTTCTTAAAGGAAAGCAAGAACCAATTTAGTAATTTGTCAAATTCGCCTAAAGGGGATGAATTATACATCAGCGCAGTTTCATACAACAATTTTGTAATAAAAATGCACGCAGACATTCCAAAGGCTTCAGAACCCTCTTACACCATGTTTGTATCTATATTGAGCCACATTATAATAAGAATTGCAAGAAGTAGTCGGACATTAAGAGGAAAGTTGCGGAAGCTTATATAACGCAAAGATAAGTTATCTGGACAACTGGACCACTCTGGTAAGCTGTCATGTTCGTGTGTTCCAGTAGTAGGCGCTTATTCTGAACCGTAAGTGTCCTGACCATGTTAAAATATTCTTTTTGTATTTTTGGCAGCTTTAAGTTCGTCGATTTTTTATTCCCCGACCTTTTTTTTGTGTTAGTGTCACTTAATTTCTAAACTTACTGTTAGCCGAAGTAGAAGACCATCGCTTACCTGTAACAGAAAATAAAACTAATTAAAATCGGAGTACCCACAGTGCAGTCTGAGTATGAATTTGTCAGAAAACAATTCGTCGAGGACGAATTGCGCTGAAGGCAAATTTACAGTGGAACGAAACGGATTAAGGAGTAATTTTGCAAGCCAATTCGAATTATATGCCAGTGTTTTGAGATTAAAAAAAAACAAAAATGACACCTTAAGATGTTTGAGGTTTTTTACCGAACGCATTAATTATGAGTAAACAATTCGACGTATCTCAAAAATTCGTATAATGACTTCATTAGGCCGCAATAATTACCTTTAAGTTAAGTGCGAAGAAATGTCGACGATTTTCGGTCCCCCAAAAATATGTAATAAACGTGTAAAGTGATTTAAATGATGGATCGAGCAACAGACGGTCTTGTAAAGGAAGTAGATTCACATTACCGCCTATATAAATTAAAGTGCCTTAAGGTAATATCAAATAACAAAAAATGATATTGCGTGTGTAACCGATATTAAACATGTAAGTACGGATTGTGGAGTTGTACATTTCTATGAGTAACGGTTTTTACATGCTATCTAATTATAACCAAATTTTATGAAAATAAATAACTATTGTTTATAGTACCAATTAGGCACACAAAGTTGGATACCCGAAACGCTAATGACTGTTCAAATTAAAATCGCACTCAGTTTTTTTTTGTCAAATTATGTGCGATCTTAATTAACAAAACATTTCGATCAAATAATAATGAAAAAAGGGAGACGGCAGATGTTCCGCATTCTGAAACGCCACCACTTACAAGTTTTCTACTTCAGATGTAGTACCTAAATAAAATGAAAATCTCGATACAGATCATTAATTTCACGACATAATTATAATACGGCGTTAGGTGTACGATAAATGTGATTTACAACTGGCACAGTCATAAGTTAGGCGAAGAAAACACAAACGTGTGTGACACTTAACCACAATTCATTTCTTATAATCCCATCACTAGGAATTAATATTTAATTAATTCTATTCTCCAGGACCACAGTGATGGTTTTGCTAATCCGAGCCATATTAGTTTTGTACTGTTGGTGGCTGGTCTGTACTATTTCAACACTTAGCATGGAAAGAATCATTTTCAACCGAAAACCAAATAACACTTTTGACAAGATTACGTACGGAAGATGAGCTCCATTCAATTGGAAAGTTTCAAAAAATGTATGTGACGTACCGCAAAATTTGCAACTCTAACCCCCCATTTTCTTACAAAATTATGTAATTTCATTACTACGATTACATTCATAAGCGGGTTACCTTTCAACCAGTTGAACAGGACCCACTGAAGATACAATAAAAAGTATTTGGTGTATCAGAAAACTACAGCCCCTTCTGTAGGCCACGTAAACGCAATTGTACGTTACTTTTGTACCAGTTAAACATACCCTACAGAAGATACTAAAAATATTTAATGTGTCAAGTTGCAGATCCTTCTGAGGCCTCGTTAACCCAAACTTCAAAAAAATGGATAGCACTTGCTTCCGTGGTGGGAAATCAAGACCGCGTCAAAGGATTTTTTTTACATATTATATGCGACTCCAATACGATGAGAGGTTCTTAAAAAATATCATGTCTCCGTCTTATCTTTAGGATAAAAGAAATTTTTTATTATACCTGAATTACAATCTCCGTTTTAAACACTCAAATGCGTGCGAAAAAGGGCTTTTAAAACACACGTGCTTTAAAGTTGCTAAGTAACGATACTTCAAGTATGACTTTTGAAACTGTCATCTGGATGAAATAAAAAATCCTCTTAGGTCGCTTTCTGTAAATGCAGAACATTTCTTTGGCTTTTGTACCTATCCTTTGGTTGAAGCTTTCACAAAGGCGCGTAATTTAGGGTATGCTTCCAAATCTGTTCCACTTTTTAATCGCAGCATTGCTTTAAAGTTTTGAATGAATGCACCAAAATATAGAAGATTTAAATACCTTTGACATTTCCTTCATATATGCCAGCATTATGGATGCATTTAAGACTTTATTCGTAAGTAACTTCCTATTCATCCATGGAAACAACTTTTCATATTCTTTATAATAGGCTTTACTGGAGTTGGATTTTACACCTACCAACGTTTGTTTAGATTTTACAACAATCGATTTAATGGACGGTGTATTATCTTTTTCAACGGAAATCGTTTAATTCACAAAGACGATGATTTTTATAAGCAAACGTCAAGTGACATTTCCATGGCAATCGTGAAATTACGAACACCCAGCCCACTTAATTAGACATGTATTCGAGTATAACGTCAATATGACTTCATTGTATTTCCTATTTTTAAATTATACTGCAGGTATAATAAAAAATACTATAAGATACACGTGTATAATTGGTCTTTAAAGCACTTGCAACGTTAAAGGCACTCCGCTTTGCGTCGTGCCCTTAAACTCGTTGCGCGTGCTTTAAAGACTTGATTATACACTTGTATCTTAATATACTATTACTATTTCACATAAGTTAAATGAGGTTTCTTGCCTTAATATGAATAAAAGACGTTTCCTTTATGCCTCGGTCCTATTTCATAAAGTTGTTAACTTTAAATCGCCCTCCTACCTATACAAGGTGGTGACTTGCGTAACGCATCATAGGGATTTCAATGTAAAATTCATCACATGCGATTATTGGCTCCCCAAATTATTTTAGAGCAAACATGTATTAAGGTTTTTTGTAGAAAAAATTTTTTTACGCCACTCAACCGTGGTAGTTTTCAATTTTTTGCATAATAAAGACGGAAAATTGGAAAAATAAAACCCCCATCTTTTTCAATAATCTGTGATGCCATGGAATTTTATAATACAAAAACTACGCCAATATCGTCATGCCATGGAATGTCTGCTATGAAACAAATCAAATTCTATCAAAAATTATTATATTTAGAACAGCGAATTCAACATAAAGAAAGACCAAATTACTAAAAACGGTTTCCTAATATAACAATATAACAATTTACAATTAAATGTCACCATTAACTGCAAAACCGTAACCAAGTCGATCATAAAATTCATTTCGAACTGCAGCTGCTAATTGACAACTGGATATCTTTTTGTTTTAGAAAATTCCATGGCATCTCAGATTATTGAAAAAGATGGGGGTTTTATTTTTCCAATTTTCCGTCTTTATTATGCAAAAAATTGAAAACTAATACGGTTGATTGGCGTAAAAAAAATTTTTCTACAAAAAAGTTTAATACATCTTTGCTCTAAAATAATTTGGGGAGCCAATAATCGCATGTTATAAATTTTACATTCAAATCCCTATGATCCGTTAAGTAAGTCACCACCCTGTATAATAAGATAATGTTTCGTACCGATGTTCACAACATCAACATCCCTCGTAAAGATCTACTCAATATGCCTAAACATAAATCTACTATGTATATGAAAGATCATTTTCTTATGTAATTAGTAATATATATAACTCTTTACCTGTGGATGTTAAGTGTTGTGAGATTAAAAAGGTTAAAAATCAGGTCCGTAAATTGCTATTAAGTAATAATCTGTGATTGTTAACTTTAGTTTGAAGTTATTGTTTGTTTATATCTCTCGTACATCATTTGTTTCCATGCTCATTGTATATTCAGACACGCCTTATAAATAAGATTGTGTAAATAACGTTAAATGGTTAAGGGGAAGAGTAGGTAAGGATTTTTCCACACCTGAACTTCGCCATTTGGACACTATCCTGTTTTTTTTTTCTTCTTTGTTTCTTCTTGTTATATTGATATCTTGTGTCCAATAAAGTCCTATTATTATTATTATAAATATCCTCTCCTCCCAAATTTCGCTCGAGAAAGGGAACCTTCAGAATATTCGCCACCAGATTCGTCACCGACGGGACATCCACCATATAGGATGGCATTAAAATCAATATTTCGCGTTTAAAGTAAAAATGTTGTTATTACATCCAAATTTTTAGCTTCCTAGTTGTCGTTAAGGTGCCATTTCCGAGAAACACGATGGCGCAAAAGGGAACAGGGCGTTTAATTGCGACAAATGGAAACTCAAGATTGTGATGGCTCCAAATGAAGAACGGTGGCATTAAAAAAACCATGGTCGCAATACTTAGAGTAATAACGGGCGATCAAAAATGAGTTGCTGTCGAGTCGCCTTTGGAAGTTCAAGTTAAGTACGATTTCCCATGTAAACAAAAATTCCAAAGGCGACTCGACAGCAACTCATTTTTGATCGCATAGTACTTCTCATCACCTGTGAAAGAAAGTCTTCGCTTCAAGGGTCAGAAAGAAGAAATAACTGCTGATTTTTTGGAAAAAGACTAGAAGACTCCTCATGCAAAAGGAAAATCCTGACCGTTTGTAAGGTGACTCCCCTCCTTTTGTATTTATTCACTGGACTATTGACATATAGAATTTTTGTGAATTGCTACGGGGACGGAGTGCAGCAAATTCTAACCCTAAGATACCACATCCCCATACAGGAGGTCGAAAAAATGATTTTTACAAAATTTAGTACCTATATGAGAATTTCATAAGAAAACTATTATCCTTCAATGGACTGCTTGAGACATATAGGGTGGTAATAGCTATTTATATATCAAGTACATAAACTGGGTTTTTATGGACGAGCCGTTTATTTAGCCGAGCGAGCTTGCGAGCGAGGCACAAATAAACAAGGCGAGTCCCCATAAAGCCTATTTATGTACGCGACCTATACAAAGCTTTATGTACGACTGCAACTTAACCTTAAAAATGAAAATTTCATGGAATTCAATAAACGATAAAATCTATATATCATTGACAGATGTCAAGCATTTGTAGAGTATTTCTAAAATATTAATTGAATTTACCTTGGATTGACACCTAAGTACGACTGTCACATTGACAGGCGGCCGTTTTACTTTATCATTATGGACTAGGCCATAATATGGCAAATTATGGCCACTAATCACCGCATTATCAAGCAGTCGTACATAAAATATGATATAATACAGGGTTCCTTAGATTGA